GACTTTGTGAGCCTCATGCTCTGCCAGGGAGGAGGGAAAGCCAGGAGGAAGCAGAGAGAGGACACCTGACCCGAACTGACCAAAGAAGTATTCCATACCACAGCATGTCATGCCCAGGACGTAACTGAGAGTTACCCGGAAGGGCTGGGACTGCAGGGTTGGAGGAGGTATGGGTTGGTGCTTGGTCGGGCTAGAGGGGTCAAGTTATCGGATGGCTGGTGGTGAGGTGACGTATTCTCTTCCCTTGTTATTTCCTTTATCCTTGTTATTATTGGTAGTAGCAGTAGTGATCTGTGTTATACCTTAGTTACTAAACTGTTCTTATCTCAACCCGTGGGAGTTGCATTCTTTTCAATTCTCCTCTCCGTCCCTCCGGGAGTAGGGGGAGGGAAAGAAGGGAGGGGAGTGAGTGAATGAGTTACCTGACTGTGTTTAAACCACAACACCTAACAACAACTGGTGTTACTGTTAATGTCTGAGGCAACAAAGGCGTTAAGTACCTAAGTACTATACTTTCACGTATAATAAATCCCTTTTCTTTTTCTTAAGAAAAATGAGAAAAAAACCTTCACTAGAGTAGAATAGCAACAACACATTTGAGTATCAAGACCCAAAGGAAGCAAAAAGAAAACATAAAATTAGTTGAATCGCCACAGCAAAACAATTTCCTTCAGAGCCTTCAATACTCCTAGCCAGGGGGAATACGGCTAGTGAAGGTTAAGAGTATTGAATTGTGCATGCAGAATAATTCCCAGTGGGCTCAAGGCATAGAGTTGGAATTGGGTTTCATGCCTGAAGACACTGAGATCTGGTAACACAGTTCAGAAGATTTTGAAGCCTGTGAAATGCAAAACGGGAGCTAGGTAAGGCCATAACTTTTTATTGCAGTTGAATTTCTCCCAAGGTCCAAAGATTTTGGTTCAAAATCTTGAAATCTCACTCAACCTTCATGAACACTTGAAAAGGGTTTTCATACTAGCAAGATCTCCTCAAATGCTGCTACTAGTTTGACAACTGCGTATTTGGAATGAAATGCAAGGAGAGACAGATGTTCCTTCATGAATTCATATACTGAAATACCATGCTTCCTTGTGGACAGCCAGAAACTTAATTGAATGGGCAAGTCGTACTCCTTCCTCCTCCATTTTTCTGGGTGAGTTATTGAAGAGTCATTCTCTCCAAAGTATGGACAGCAAAATATGCTAATTACAGGATTAAGGAAGATGGCAAGAATGTTTCTTTATGCTGCATGATAGCCCTGGTGCGGAGCAATTCAATATGCCATTCTTCAGCCATCTAGGTATTGCCAAACCTACCAGGATAGGAAACAACAGTCTTATTCCTGGAAGATCTTGTTCTCCCCATTTCCTGCTGCTTTTGAATAGACTTGTTATGGCCAAGCACAGAAGACACAGAAACTTCAAGATTAATTTATCAGACTAGAAACTGATTTGATATGGAGCTTTTTCATGTATTATTATGTTTACATTTTTCTGCAGCATATCTAGATTTTGTAAGTTTAAGATCTTTCTGTAAAATCACATTCCTGTTATACATGTTTCCTGGACATTCTCCAATTATGAGAAAGGTGCTTGGAATTAAAAATATTATTTAAATGTCCTTTCTATTTTGTGTGGCCCAAAGATTCAAACAAATCTAAAACACATTGGCAGAAAGAGGTTAAAATAAAAGAGCTTTCCAAACCTGAATTTTCCAAGTGCTTTAACTTAGCTCAAAAAATATATCCCCTATGATCCCTTGTGACGTAATGTGAGCTTAGATTTCTACTACCGTTAGCCAAAAGCACTACAGGATGTGTCTCAGAGACAGATTCCTCTTGATGAGAAGTGCAAATATTGTTAAACAAATAGAAAAGTCCTCCCAGAATCAGGGTTGAACCTCTGTTGACACCAGACCATCAACTCAAAGCCTGAAAGATTGCATTAACAGTAGAATTTGACATATTTGCCCATGTCTTGAATCCAGCACATTGCAAGAGGCCCATCAGCTGCAGGACAGATCGTATCCTTGAGACAGAGTCCTGCTTATTCCTTTCACAGAGCTCCCTCTACCAGGACTTAGCAATTCAATTACAGGGACAGAGCTGAAGTAGTTTGCACGCATTGAAGAAAAAAAATCGTGCACGGTTTAACAACGCCAATTCTGCCACCTAGTGACCAAGAAAAATTAACCTACAGTTTATGAATGGGGCAAGGGCGGATCGGCACAGACAGCTGTGACTGTGATATAAGCTAGCAGATGGGCACTGCCGTAACATCATGGGTGCCTGTAGTTCACCCAGGCAGTCTGACTCCATGCTCACAGCATAAAATGCAGTGAGTGTCTGCTGCTTAGCACTGCATGAAACGGATGACCAAGCTATTATGCAGGACCCCTGTCTCCAAGTTAACCAGCACACACTGGAACTGCTGACGACACTAGAACTTGTCTTTAGGGAGCTCAGTAAGTAGGTTCAGCTATTGTCTGCACAGAAGCACAACACTGGGAGAGGTGAAGGCGGCAGACACTGAGGTTCTTTCCCAGTCCTTTGGCTTACTGGACAGTGAGCCTGATTTGGACCCCAAATCTCCAGCATTCAACGAGTGATTCAGTGCAATTTCCTAAATGACAGATGGAGCCCTCTAACCTGAGCTATGCATGAAAAAGACATCACCTGCATTCAGTGGAAATGTATGTGCTCTTTTCTGCCCAGGAACCTATGACCTTATTTTTTCATTGCCTTGTGCCATTTGCACAGGTTCTAAGAGGAGATAAAGCATTTAGGTGGAAAGGTTGCTATGCCTGCTGTTTTGGGGGGAAACAAATAACATGATGTTCAGAAATGTGTTTTCAGAGCAAAATCATGTGTGTTAAAACAACTGCCTTCTACACATCTGCCTTGGAAGCATTCCTGGGCTATACAGGTCTAAACTTGTTGCTACCTGATGCATTTCTCAGTGGTTACCTATAGCAAAATACTCAAACTTTTGCAAAGGGGACGGCAAAGGGATAGAAAATTACAGTTGAAAGACTAAAGATGCAAAAAGCTAAGCTGCTTACAGGCCTGCACTACTAATTAATAAAGTCTGCAATTAATGATTAAAAACCTGGCAAGGCCAGAGCTGCAAATAGAATCCAGGCTTGCTATCTCCAACTTCCTTGCTGCGATGATTTGAAAATCCTTTGTCCGTAGGTAGTTGTGCATCTCTTTTACATCCTTAGTAACGCGGCTATAAAAACTGGCTACTGGAAGTAAAGCTAGCTACAGGGCTTGGGTTTCAGGCAGCTGCTTTGTTCCTTCTTACACATTTGTAACTCAGAAAATTTAATTAGAATCCATGGAACTAAACAAGGTGAGAGTCCAGTCCAGTGTCTTCATAATCCCATATCTCATACAGCTATCCAGCCTTGTCCAGGAAAATAAAGGTAGCTATTCAGGAAGGCATTTCTATTGCACTTCAATATACATTTAGTGTTGGCTAGTTTCCTGGTTGAAGCTATAGCATTTAAGCAGAGCTTCTTCAACTGTGAGCTGGAAAAAGAAGTAAAGTAAAATAGTAAGTATTTACACTCTCTGAGGAGTGACAGACTTTATGTCATGCAGTTATTCCTAAAATCTTTGGAAGGCATTCCTTCCTTTTGTACAGCATGTATTCACTACATGGAGTCAAAGGCACCTGGGATTATCACAGCGATACTGTAAAATGTATATGTAAATCAACAGCCACTTCACTTTTTTTTTTCTTCTCCATACTGTTAGACAAAATAAAACTGCTACATTCTTCGTGATTAAAACATGTATTAGAACAACTAAATACAGTGAGATTCTGGTAGGAGAGGGTAGGATGCGAGATTCTTGTTCCACTGTATACATATTTTACCCTCCAGCTCCATCTGGTTTCTCTGCCTGTTCTGTTTTGTTCCGGGAATAGGAAATTCTAGCTACTATTTGAAAGCAGAATCACTAAGGCAGTGTTTCTTTCAATAACAAACTGGATTCAGAAAATAATGGGGGAAAAGTGGAAATTTTCTCCCTGAATAAAAGGGAGATCCAGAAAATGCTTTACCTTCTAAAGAACTGAATGTGCACACAGAGATCTCTTAAGTGGTCTATTTAAAAGGTTCAACTCGGGTAAGATGTCCTACTATATGTCTCTACTGTTTCCCGATATGAATGCATACGCAGCTTTGGTTTTTAGAACCGTACTGCCCTACATGTCCAATTGAAGGATCAAAAATTCTACAGTTAGACTGGATGAATATTCCTACATGTATACTGCAGTTGATCCCTAAATGACTCATGAGTTTGATTCTCCATCCTGAGGTGCCTTTAAGAGATCTGATTTTCAGAGGTGAAACTAGATCTCGCATGTGTGTGCATGGTGGTGGTGGTCATTGATCATTTTAAATAGATGTGACCCAAAGCACAGGCACCTCTAGAAAGAATGCAGTGAAAAGTCTTGTACATAGATAGCTTGATGCTCACAGTGCCTCAATACCACAGTTAAAGCTTCTGTAGTTCTTCATGTCAGAAGAATCACTGGGCCACAGCTCAGGACTGGGTACAACTTTCTTACTCCATAGCAGTGAAGCATGCTAGCACAGACTGACACTGACATGGAGAAAAAAAAATTATTTCCTCCCAGAATTCTTTTTTTTTTTTTTTTTTTAGGCAGACAGAAAGGGGCCGAAATACTCCTTTGCAGATGTCATAGACAGCTTTGTATAACATATCACTGAAAAGGTGACAATACAAAAGTACTACCCTAACAAACAAGTGACTGATACTTCATGCCCTTAGAAACTTAGAGAGAGGAACAACTGCTGCAAGGGGCTTTCAGACAGACCCAGGGGAAAAAAAAACCCACAAGAACAGTAGAAGCCACAATCCTCACTACCTGGAGAGAAGGTAGCTCACTGCCTATCACACACACAGTTTGACAGCAGCTTAGCAACTTCCATGATGACTCACAGAACCAACCCTCCTCACAACAGAATGGATCAGCACTATAAAATAAACGTGGTCCTTCCTGCAAACTCAGCAGCTCAGGTGGACGTTATTTATTTCTCCAAGCCTGAGGAGTTGTAGAAATGTAACAGCAAAATACTCCATGGGCAATCCATTACCACAGAAGAGTTGTTCTGAAGAAGGGCCAAATGCAGTCAGCTCTTCCAACTCCTTCATAGAGTAGCCTCCCCCATTGAAAAAGGTAGATCCACTCAGAGGGGTGGAAGAAGTCCTTTCTTCTCATACCCAGCCACCAGCGCTAAGCAGCAGAATACTTTGGAGATAATGTAGAATTGGTGACTCTGATCAGAGAAAAGCTTCACAGTAGGATGACATTTATTCTAGGAAAGTCTCTGAGGTTAAGCTGTTTGGCAAACTTGATGAAATAAAAGTGGAAATCGAAGGCAGGTCTCTTGATCATAACTTTGAGTCTTTGAGACTTTTACTTTACCATCACTTTTATTAAAATTCAGTTCCCTTGTTGTTTTAAGAAATAGTTTGACTAAGCAGTTTATCAGTGAAAACTGCAAATTCTTTGAAACTGAAACATCTTGTAGCAATGCACAAATGTGTCAGAAATTAATTTTGATACCTGAAGTACAATGTCTGATCTACAGTAAGAGTCTGCCCTTGGTCATTAACCCAAACACAATCAACTGTTCAAGGAGTGAGTCATTAATTTGAAAAATGAGAATAGCAGCACAATACTTAGAACAGCATCTCCAGTATCTGTGTAATTAGCTCATCAACTCAAAAAGCAGTTTTATTTTTAAAAAAGAAAAAATGTGGTGTTGAATCCTTTTTTTCATACTGCAGAACAAACACGTAGTGAAATCTGGTTTTGTGGGATGGTCACCATTTACCACTGATAAGGAGGTTTTATTGTGTGAAGTCCAATGTCTAACGTAACTTGTCTGAGAGTCAAAGAAACTATGTTTTCTCTATCTACGCACTGTCTTTCACTGCTTTCATTCATTATTTGCTCCTGTTGTGCAAACACAGACTTGCCACACTCTCAATATCTCAAATGCACAGTGCATCAGGAAGCAGTGAGGTGGGCAGCTGCTCCACTGGGATGTGAGCTTGTAGCTGGGAGTCCTGTTACGGCTTCTGTGAGCCATGACCTCAGCAACAAGGCGCTGAAATGCAGAACGGCAACTGTGGGTCAGGATCAGGGACAGAGACAGTGATGTGTGTCAGACAGACCAGAGGCAAAGCAGTCTGATATCAAGCCAGGCAGCCCAACCAGTGGGTCTGGGTTGAGGTGAAGACACATCTGCTTACACGGCTGTGACATGGCACAGCAGTAAAACCTCAACATAAGGTCAGCTCTCAAGGGAGGGAAAGGGCAGGTCCTCTTCTCTACAACAGCTCTTAGTGGTGAAGGAGCTCAGACTCCTAAACTTAGCCAGCTAAACTCCTAGAAGGTGGATGTGCTCTGGGCCCTACATAATGATCTGAAGCAAGAAGGGAAAAGTTTCCTCACCTACTTATAAAACTTGCAAGAGGCTTACTGGCAATGAGCTATCACAAGCATTGACCTTAGACAGGCTTGGTGGACAGACTTCACCTCTTAAAAGTATACAACATTCCCACAGCACTGTTAACTCCCCACCTCTTCTTCCTTATTTAAATTTTTTCCATCTTTCAGCTTGAAAACTGTCTCGCTAAGACTTTCAAATTCCAAAGAGATACACTTTTCACTCTTCCCCAATCCTTCCTACCAGAAATTGCTACAAGAGAATCCCTACCAGACTATACATCCTGCCCTGGGTTTTTTTTTTTTTTGTGCTATGGAAGACAATAAAGCTGCACTGTTTGTACCCAGGATCTGTTGGAGGATCTGTGGCCAATGCCTAGCTACCTGCCTTGGTCACGTTTCTGGAATCTAATCAGCAAGGTAACAGGGACAGTAGTGGAATAAAGAAAACCTCTTTAGTCAATTATTACTACTCATCCCACCTTCCCCCCCAGCCTTGGTCTGCTGCCAGAATATCTTCACCCCAATATCTCAGTTTTGTGTCATTAATCACATGCTCATTATTCATGTATACTCATTAGTCCTGCAACAGAAGTTAAACACTTCTGCTTGTCTGCCACAACTGTGAGGATATCACAGCAAAAGGGCTTTTCCTCAGTGATACCTGCTCAAAGGTGAGGTATCTTCTAGTGAAGCAACATGCTTGGCATGTCAGCCTATTACCTGCAGGCAAACTGTTTCTGCTTTTATTTTGAAAGTATTCTCCTACCTGGGAACTGTTGACAGAAGCATTAATAGGAGGAAAAACTGATGCAAGTGATTAGAGGCTGTAGTTAGAATGGTGACAGGAAGGAGCAAAGAGCAACCAGAACATTCTACAGTACTGTTAAATTAATGGCTATGGGAAAAGCAGAGAAACAAAATTCCCACAGACAAATCCTGGCTTTTTACACACTGTAAACCAACTCACTAGGTGAATATTATTCTAGTATTCAGGGGAGTACTTTGCCGAAAGAAACAGATGTAGCCAGAACAAAACAAGCCTAAAAAAAAACACTGACTGATCGTGTTAGTGTAAATACTTCTGAGTTTGGATGAACAATCAGAAGCAACTTTATCTCTGCAAATTCTGCAAGTGAGCCATAGCCTCTAGGTAGTCAAAGACCTGGTAATCAAAGACAGAGTGCCAACAAGAAAAAACGCTTGAAGAAATCAGTATGACTTGCTCTTCTCAAGAGTACTGTCAGCCAATGTTTTTCCTTTGATGCTCATACCACAGTGAATGTTGCAGGTGTGCAAGGGTTACTTTTGTCTCCACCCAAGCTTTTTGTGGCCTTAGACCTCATAGTTGTTACTCTGAGTCTGTGCTAGCCAGCACAAGGCTGGTCCAAGAGTTACAGGCATCCTGGTATCTGGTACTGCTGAGCAGATGCAATCTGCATCTACTGAAGCACATGCATTGCTCACAGCACCATCCAGCAGGAACTGAGAGTGCACAGAACTTCTGAAAGTCTCCATCTTTTCTGCAAGCCAGGAAAAGTAACATAGCACCAGATTTTCAAATATTCTTGCTGTCACTGACAGGCTTTCACTAAACAAAGCACTTACTATAAGTTTGAAGTTAAACATGACTATATGAGAAACATGCAAATTGAGATCAATTTCAAATAAATCTTGAGGCCTGTTTATATATATGTGTAAGTGCACTTATTTTTGCAAGTGGAGTGGTGGGCATTGCATAGAATGAAATTGCTTTTCAAATTTTTAATACCTCCTTTTAAAGATGAACATGAGTGACTCAAAGAACAAGCGAACAGTGAGGCTGGGACCTTTAAAGCCCACCACATCCAGTGAAACTCAATGTGAAGTCACTCATATCTTCTCCTGTTAGCCCTCACTGCTGGCTGCACTGGTTGTATATGTACTGCCAGCTGCAGTATGAAGCTGAATTATGCTAGGCCCGGTGACAGTGCCATCTCTCTATCCATGTTGCTGGCTTAACTCACCCTCAAAGTTTCAAAAGAGTACTTTTAAGAACTCATGCACAGGATACCCATCAATATTTGGAGTTCCACTGGTGACTATTCAGCTACACTGAGCATATGAATTAGGGGTTGTGTTCACGATAAAGCACGATTTGTCTTAAGCCTGCACCTGAGTTGAATGCCAATTTTGAGCTTACTGTAGATGTTCTCCACAGCCAATGGCCCAGACCTGTGTCAATCTAGCAATCTCTAGTTGGCCATTATTGTAACTAAGCTATAAAATACAAAACAGCCTAAGTCAGCCTCTGGAGAGTGATGTCTTTAATCTTCCTTTCTTGCATACAAAATCCTATACAGAAAGCCAGAGCAACCTGACATGTTGAATATTGCCATTGTCTCGTCTTACTCTGAGAAAAAGCTGAATCTTCCTTGATGAATGCTTCCTTGCATAACATTAAGGAGTGTAGAAAGGAACAGTACCTCCCTCCAAGGCCCCTCTCCCATCTTCCTTAAGAAAACAAATGCCAGGTTCCTTTAGCATAGTGATTTTTGGCAATGACTTCTCTCCAAGAGATTTACTGCAGCAGCCTTACAAGAGATTTGCAGCAGGCAGTCCTTCATCTGTAGTCTTACATCCTCAGTGCAAGAGCCATAATTCTCCTGAAGTAAAATGACAGGGGATCATAATGGCTAATCATATATTATGATTATACTGGAAGGATTGTACTTGGCTTTGCATGTTTCCTTGGGGCAATGCAGAAGTTTCTTACAAAGCTGAAACAAATTACATTTTTGTGGTTGCTGCTGTGACACTAGTTAGACACCTCTCCCCTCCCACAAGCAATGGTACTGACCCAAGTATTTTAAAGAACATTTTCTGAAAAGTGGAGTTTTTTGGGATTTGGATACTGGATATGGAATGTTTCAGATGCAAACTGCTAGCATGATTCTCTCACTTAGGCTAAAAACAATGTAAATGTGTGACAGTCATCTATTTTTACACTTCATGAATAGGTGTCCAATATTTGAATGAAGCCCAACAGGTATTAAATAGTGCAAAGCAATGTATTTAAATAGAGAAAAGATATCTATTTTACTTTCAATATGGCATGAATGGACTACCATAGGTACAAAGTATACGCTTAGAAAGCCATTTTGCCAAAACAACAAAATATTATTCTTTCAATAAATCTTGAACATTTATGATAGCTACGTATGGACAGGCCCTCCACTGTACAACTATGTCATCTCATCAGAAAGTTACATCTCTAAGAGTACAATGGACCAAAATTTTGATTCAGAATTGTGGAAAGAAGATTTCACTCTCCTGATCAATTCAAAAAGCTCTCTGCTGCTCTCTCTTACCTTGAAGTCTGCAGTTCTTAAATTGAAACAGACCTAACGTGACCCATATATGGGACTGCAGTACAAGGTAGAATCACAGCAGGTTTTCTGACTTTCCTAGTAAGTTTATTGAATTGACCTGTTCCTGTGTGGTCAGACACGCAGCAAGAAGAAAATCTTAGCTTTAACTTCTAAGAGCTCAGATTTACTGAGCAATATGCAGCTTTTCTTAGTCAGAGATGAGAAAGTCTGCAAGAATCCTGCCATTCTAATTGCAAAGCAGGATCACTGGGATGCTTTCGTCATGCCTGACTAAAATTCATAACTGACAGGATCTTTGATGTACAAGCTGGAGTTCGTACGATACAGAGTCAGTTCTGTGCTTTGTGACTGGTGTCCTGTGTGACTTGATACAAGCATCCATGCTGTAGTTCCCCAGCAGTAAAAAAAGTGCAATAGCATGGCTGAACATCTCAGAAAGACAATAAGTTTCAGGTGGGTTCTGAGATATATATGGCCCCCAAGATAATGGGTCCACAGTGCTCTCAGTGGGTCAGTGTGCTTTACCCCTACATTGCTAATAGAAATGGGCTGACATACTAGTTGACATGTTTTCTGGAATGTCTTCTCGTGTTGTATTTTCATGAGTATTCTGCTGGTGCCAGCAGAATCAGTCCCAATCATGCATTGATACACATACATGAAAGCTAACAGTTTGTTCATTGGACACATTTTGGAGGCAATATGTGTGATTCTGTATTTAAATAGATTTAAAACAAACAAACCAACCAACCAACCAACAACAAAACAATAAAACCAAACAGAAATATTGAGTCTAAGTACACAGGATAGGATTTAAAAAATGCAGAGTGGTTGCCAAGCATTCATAGGTGTGGGTTTATTGGTAGGTGGAAAAAGTCAGCAGAATGATAATGAGCTGAGTTTGTCTATTAGAAGAGGGAGGCAAACACACGGACTGTGAAAACGCCTTGCTGGTGCAATATTCAGTTTTTAGTCTGCATGATGCAACTCTTCCCTTTCATTAACATCAAAGCCAGGTTTGGACTGCCTCTTGATCGAAGAGTTAGTCCAGTACTGAGCCTCTTTGAAAACTCCATCCCAAACCTTATACATAAGAACATATCCAAATGGCATGCACTATCTACTGCTATTTTAACGGTATTTCTCTCATAGATATGGAACAAAAGCTACAAACTGTTTTGTATGTTGGAAAATCCTTCAGTATTTAAATATGGGTGCATAAATATGGGTCAGGATCCTACACCTGGTGGGAAAAGGTAAACATTATCACACAATTTATGCTTTCTGGAATGTTTCCTTATATTTTTATTTATTTATTTATGCCCTCCCACACTTCCCAAGTGGAAGCAGCCTGTGTACAACCTACAATTTAGTCAACTCAAGCACTGAAGGCGTTCTTTATGCTTGTATCTCCCTTTCTTATGCTCACATAATACTTCAAAAACTCTAATGCATCGTTGTGATCTTTGCAATGAAATGAAAATATATATAAAGCTCATCCTTCTTGGCTGATGAGAGAAGGGCAAACTAAAATCTGTCACAGAAAAAAAGCTAGATTCTTACCCAACACTAAATCTGGGCAGTCAGATTTGCACTTGAGCAGCTTGTGATGTACCCATGCCTTAGATAAGATTACGATCAGCTTCAGAATGGAATCTGTAAAGCATAATTCAAATAATGTACTTAGGTATATGCTTAATGTTCAACTTCTCCATTACTGAATTAAGATTCAGCATTTACCATTTCAATCCCTTTCAGTTTCTTCATGAAACACTAATATGAATAAATACAAAAGCAAGTACAATAATGAATAAGCAAGAACCTTTCAACTTTTCCCCTCCTTTGTGTGACTGGCCAAACAAAGCACAGTTAAACCAATAAACCCAGACATCTACCCCTGCTTTTATTACAGCAGCCCTGTCAAAAACTCAACTCATTTCCACAGGCCAGAAGCAGAGATAAGGGTAATTACTCTCGTAATTATTTCTAACACTCAGATTCATCAAAATACTTCTTACAGTTGTCACATGCTTACACCCAGTTACCTATGCTACAGCTGGTATGTCTTTACAAACTTTTCTATAAAGGCTCCCCCAATGAAGGACTTGCATTTATTCCATTACATTTATTCCATTACATTTATTCCATTACTTCTGATAATCATACTGAACGTGCTTAGTCTACATGTGAAAAATAGAAGGCAGTATTTAATTGCCATGACAACACTCTGAGGTCCTAAATGAAACTATTAAAGTCCTAAATTAAAAATAAAATTAAAAAAAATCTGGTCTATTCAACAGACTGACTAAACTACATCTATGGCACAGACATCATGCTTTTGTTATGCAAGCACGTGAAAAAGACAAACACTGAGTCAAAAGTCAATTTTATAAATGGCAAAACTGAGGAACAGAAAAATTGAAAGAAGTGACATGTGGAAAGTTACACAAGAATTGACTATGGATTTCTTGTTATCTATTCTTGTGTCAATCACAAAAGAAACATGCCTCCTAGAGAGTGTTCCTGCAAAACAGTCCTTTGATGGTCACACCTTTGAATACAACGAAAATATTTGGATAGAACAAGGTGGAACAATGAGAAATAATGGCAATGTACATGTAAGCAGTAAAAGGTTATTTTGATGAGGTGTTAGAAAATATGAAAATTGTGAGAAGTGATGTTACTTGCCCTTAAACTGAGAAGAGCTAAAAAAAAGAAAATGATTCACAGTTCACCCACATGCCAGTTTTTGTTCTATTTTGGAAGACTAAGAAGACCACTTCTCTAGTCACAAGGCCTCTTTGCCTCATTTTACCTCTCAAAAGATCATTTTAAACTTAAGTCATTGTAATGTTATTTCTAATCATAGATATTCTACTATATTGAGAGAATTAAACCTACAGAGTTAAGATTCAGCAAAACTAGTATTTTAACTTGGAGTATTGCCTAATAAGTTCAGGCCACGTTCAAACACAACTGCTGGGCCAGTAAACTTACCTTAAGAGGAACTGCCAGTTTCCGAAGAGAACTTTCTCATTCTGAGAAAAGCTGTTGCAAAATCATTTGTTACAATGAATGGCTACAAGATGCAGCCATGCAGTGACCTAAGTGGTTCAGAAAGCTCTGAGGCATCTGTTGCTACCTGCATGGCTTAGGAACATGGTCCAGCCCACAGTTCTGAGACTGACTCGTACGAGTTAACTATGCAGCAAGCCTCATCCTGTTGTAGTTCATGAAACCAGGTTTTAGCAGTTACTGAGGCATACACCTCAAAAGAATGACACCTGCATTTTTGTCTCTAAAAGCTTGCCGAAACCAGATGCAAAAATATGGCGATCAGGGACATTCAATTCAAGGGACAGATTTAATTTCATTGTCCATTTCACCAGAATAGCACTTCAGATGACTGGATACTCTGCACATTGCATCAACGGTAAGAGTTAAGACTAGAAAATAGGATAAACCACAATAAAGGCAGTATAATAGAATCATGGAATCAACTAGGTTGGAAAAGACCTTTAACACTATCAAATCCAACCAGGATTTGACCTTTAAGAACATCAAATCACAGGACTGCCAAGACCACCACTGAACTATGTCCCTAAGGGCCTCACCTATATGAATTTTGAACGTCTGAGGGACCGAGATTCCATCACCTCCCTGGGAAGTCTGTTCCAATGCCTGAACACCCGTAAGACACAGGCCTGCTGGACCATGGCCTTCTCAAGCATCTCCCACCAGTAAGCAGAGGCACCTTTTGTACCTGCAAGTACAGGTACTTCAAAAGGGCCACACAAGCGGCGCTCTTCTCCCTCGCAGAAAGCACCACCCGCTTGGAAGCCCCCTGACGGGAGGACGGCTTCCCCACAGAGCTGTCCCGCACACTGGGCGGGGCTCCTCCTGCGGGGGGGTCCATAGGAACAACTAGGACGAGCGCCTGGGAGCTTCTGGCTCTGGAACGACGGGAGCCAGGACCCCTCAGCTGGGCTCGGACGCGACGCTACACCCCTGACGACCAGGCAAAAAGTGCTTCCGGCCCCCGGAAGCGCCCCAAGGCGGGGCGGCCGCCCGCCCAGGCAGGTACCCCCCGCGCTGCAGTACCCTGGCCCCGCCCCCGCTCCCCCAGGCTCCGCCCCTTCCCCTCAGTCGCCGCCGCCGCCGCCGCCGCCGCGGGGGGAGGATGAGAGGGCGCCGCGGCGGGGCTGGTGCCGCAGCCGCTTTCCTCGCCTGAGCGTTCCCGGCCGTTCCCCTCGGCCGGCTGCTTCCCTCGGCCGGCTGCTTCCTTCGGCCGGCTGCGCCACGCCGCCGCCCCCGCCCCGGGGCGGGCCGTCGCTTGGAGTGGATGCCGAGCGCCTGTCTGCCGCCGCCGCTGCCTGGCGCCTAGTGGCCACCGCCAGGGCAGAGACCCGCGGACGCCATGGGCTGCTGCAGCTCCGCCGCGCAGGTGAGCGGCCCGCGCCCGCCGCCGGACCTAGCTGCCCCTCTCCCTTCCCTTCCTCTTCTGTCTCCTGGCTCTGCTGTTCCCCGCTGCCGGGCCCTGTTACACCCGCAGGCCTGCTGTCCCCCACGGCTATCCACTCGTCCCCCGTCCCCAGAACTGCAGCTCATGCTGTCCCATTGCTGTGCACCCGCTCCTGCCTTTATAGCGGTGCTCTCTGGTGGCCGTGCAGACCCTTTACCCCTCGTAGCCCCTCTCTCCCATGGCTGTGCGCCAGTTTGCTCTCTCCCACTACCGTAGCCCCTACCGTATCTCTCTTACAGCTGTGCATCCCCTTGCTACACCTGTAGCACCGCTCTCCTATGGCTGCGCACTCGTATGCATCCCCTGTAACCATACTCTGAACCATTTGCTTTCCCTTCCCCCCTCCCCCCCTTAACGCCCCGCCGACAGCTCTGCTCTCCCGTGGCTGTGGACCCGTTGCTCTCTCTTCTTCTATAGTCTGGCTTCTCATGGTTGGCTGTGAGCCCCTTTACACCGCATCCTCAAGCCTTGGTGCATGTAACTCTGCAGCATTTTGCTCCCCTCTAAAGCTCTGCTCTTCCCTCTTATGGCTATGCACCCCCAGGTTCAGCTCATATAGCCTTGCTCCCACCATGCTACGCTCTTCCACCCTCTGCATTGCTCTGCACACTGCTCTGTGCTCTGCTTCCCCTGTGGATCTGCATCATTTTGCCCCTTCTTCCCTCAGCCCTGCTATGGCTTTGCAATCTTTGACATACCCTGCTCCAGTCCCCTGCCATAGCTGCAGCAGCTGCGAACCTCTGGTTCTCCCCTGCTATTCCCATACTGCCTTACTACCCTGTCACTATTGCAGGGAGTGGGGAGCAAAGGCCTCTATGTACCCCCTATATATCTCTGCAGTTTCTCTCCTCCCCCCCCCGTTCCTTGCAGCTTTTCCTTTGGGGCCCCTAGAGAGAGGGGCCATCTCATGGGAGGAAACTTGGCACATCCAGGGCCTCCCCAGTACGTTGCCTCTAGAAACGGAGACAGTTCTTATCCCAACCGCCTTCCCCATTCCATGGCCAAGGGCTCGGGTACCTCCCTGCAACCTTTTCCCTGTGTGTGACCTGCCCCGTGCACATCTCTCATTTCCGAGCTCGGGTTTTCTGTCTTCCCCCTCCCCCACTGCACTGTTTTGCCCTTACTGACTCCTCTTTTTTCCCCCAGAGCGGTGCTGCCAAGCAAGGCACAATTGGGAGCTCCACCCAGCGCTCCAGTTTGCGACTCTGCTTTCTATTTTAACTTTCCCTTTGAACGACATGACCAGGGCTATTCTGTTTTGGCTCCTTTCTGAAGGGTGTAGGATGAACGATCGTGACTAACGCTGTGGCTATGCTTTGCTTGCTTGTAAATGTTAGTTTCTTCTGGCTGTGTCACTTGCGGTGGCTGTATCCAGTTTCCAGCAGACTGCTTATGTGGGAAAGTCTGTCTCTGCTGTCCCAGATGACTCATCACAGAGATGAGTTTTTGTGGCTCATCCGTTCAGGCAGACCATTTTTTATTTTTTATATAAGCGCTCTGTCCTTCCAATGCAAAACACTGCAGAGCTGTCCAGTTGCAATAGAGAACATCCTTTACAGCAAATCTGCTGCAAAGAGGAAAGCAATCAGCTTTATGGTGCATGAAGAAATGGTCTGAATTTTAGAGAAGGACATATATAGCAGATGTTAGGGGAAGATTTAAAAATTGTTTGGTCACTGCAGTACACTGTTGGGGAGATTGTGGAGCCTGTATTGCTTGAGGCTTGCCAAATATATATATAATATATATATAAATGTTAGGTATCTGTCAGGAGTGGCTTAAGGAAAGCTGAGACAGACTTGGAGCACTGAGAGTGAAGTTGATGTTTTGAAGTCTTTTCCAACCTTAGTTTCTGTGATTCCTATCCACATTGCTTTTCATAACTGTTTAGCAGGTCCTTTCTAGCTCTCCTTTATGAATTTAAATAGCTGTTCACTGTTACATTGTTTTTCTTAAATGAAAATTCAGGCACATCTGTGGGTAATATTAGATCAAAAGCAGAAGAAATAGGGGATGCTTTAAGTATCTGGCTTGTTCATAGGTTTCTTCTTCTTCATAGATTTTGTTGTTTAGTGAAATTTTGTGTTCCCCTGTAAGGGTGTGGATGTTAATAGTATGCTACTGAACCTTTTTCATTTGTTTTCCTTGTGTGTGGCAAGATATGGTACCGTGAGCTTTGTATCCCGTATATGTAACTGGAGTATAAAGAATGGCTGTTTGTTTAATCCCCTAGCCATAAGCAATTGCATGTCTTCTCAGGAAATTCAAATCAAAGGCTAGTTGCTGAATATTTTATCAGCAACAGTTTTGTCAGGTATATTGATTGCAGAAACGTTGCTGCCAAACATAGAGCATTATGTTAGAGCCTAATGTCTGTCTTACCCTTTCTTTTATCGTTAAGAATAAATGTTGTGTTCTTCATCTACTATTGTCTTTATACCTTCACCTCTGTTGTTTCCTCTTAAGCTTTCCTTGAGCAGGGGTCCATCAGATGTGCCTTCATGCTGCCGCACTTCTTGCTTCTCCCTGCATACCTTCATTTTAGTCTTTGCCATACAGTCTGTCCTCTTATCATGGACTCCTCACCCTCATTCCTTATGACTCTTTTTTATGTTGATTTCTCATTAAGTTTATTCTTTGGCTCTCTAGCCTATTTGAGCTTCATCTGCTAATACCCATTTCTGTTTCTGAGAGAAATTATTACTTCTGTTTTGATTTTGCCAGAATTCTTATCTGATTGCTGCATCTCCAAATCCCTTTCTCATGACTGTCACCTCCTCATCTCATTTATAATAGTGCAGTAACTATGACTGGTTGTTGAACATAGCAGATTTCTTTGACGTCTTCTTCCTAACTTGTATTTCATACTCAATTATCGTTTTGATGATTTTTTTTTTTTTTCTCCTTTCTCCCTGCATGCATTTCCTGGTTCCTTTGCTTTGCAGGCTGCCTAGAAATCTCCCTTAAGCTTTTTCCTATATTTCTTATTCCCCTGCAGAATCTAAAGGTTTCCAGAGAAAAACTGGTTAGAATCGGCATGTTTACCTTTGCTCAGCAGCTCTTGCCTGCTACTTACAGTGATGGATCCTCATGTTTGCTCTATGCTTTTGTTTCCTTTAGCAGTTTAGTCTGACCCCAAAGCCCCATTCATTCAATTTTTCTGTTTTAATTCCAAATTTCTGGGTTTTACCTCTTGGCTGCCATCTTGCTCCCTTCATAATTTTATTCTGAGTTACTGTCCTCCATCCTTACAGCTGACAGTGAACTATAGTCTGCTTCCCTTCTTTTCCAAACTTCCAAACAGAAGAATTTTCATCTGTGGTCACACATTCTCTCCTCTTTTATTGTACCGTTCCAGTCCAGGTTCCATGTGCTGCTGAAATTGCCTTCATTAAGATCCGTACAGGCTCCTTCTGGCCAAGTTACAGAGATTCCCTACCTTTCTTACACTCCTTGATCTGTACTGCTTTCAGTGCTATCTGTAATTCTCAGCCACTTGATGCCTTATTCTTCCTGGACTTCTGTAATACTGTCCTCTTGTTTTTCACTGCCTTCTACTCTCAGATTATTATTTCTTTTCCTCTACTGCTGTCTGTGCTTGTACTTTCACTCTTCCCCCCCTTTTGTTAACTTAAATCCTTTTATTACCAGATTATTTGACTTGAACTGTTAAGAGCGGTGTTAACTTAATACAACCATAATGGACTTTCTCCCAGATGTGCACATTCTTTCCTGTTATTCTGCTGCTTTTTTACTCGTTGAGGTGTTTCAGTCTGGAATACTTCTTTCCAGTGTATTTCTTCTTTCCGTTTCAGGCTTATTCCACATTCGTGTGAAGTACTTTCACTTTTCCTGGTGTAGTATCTTCTGGGATTTGTACTTTGTTGTCACAACTAGAATTCTTGTTTACCTGTTGTTACTTTTTGATGTTAACAACTGTGTTTCTTTAGGGGCTTTTGCTGTTCTCTGCTTACTTAGGTGGACTTAGCTGTATCTTTTTGTGTCTCTTGACTCTCACCATCTTGAGCCTGGAGCTGGTTGGAAAAATGCAATGTTGGCTTCATATTGCAGTTGTTGTCTCAGAGCAGTGTATATGCTCTTCATTAATTACCATGGGCAGGTCCTCCTAAAAATTCTTTGAACTGTAGTTAGGCCAAAGCATGCTGACCTATATGAGATTAAAACCTTGTAAAGGACAGGAGGAAAAAAGAAAACCAAACCAACCAAGAACCAAACCCCAGACACCTCTCTGCAACTCCTGTCTTGCAGTGCTGTTTATTATCAATACCTTCGTGTGGTTTCAGTCAGGTGTCCTCCCTTGCCATGTCTTTATCATGAGCTTCTCAAGATGGGTGCTTATGTCTAGGTTCAAATTGTTCCTCATGGATCTGCTATGCAACAAAGCTTAAAAAATTTCTACCTAGTTTTGATACAGGTGGGTTTTTATGTTGTGCTGTTTTGGAAAGGATCTTCCCTTCCTGAGTGTTGGTGTCTTTTGAGTGAATGGTGCTGTAGCTCCAGAATGGTAGAATAATCAAATTTCTTTCAAATCTTTAGTTTCATTAAAGAAGAAAAATGGAATCTGTAGTTGAGTGGCAGTACTGTCTTCCGTTTCTTTTCATTCTTCTCCTTTATCAGTGGTATTTTCTGCTATCATAGCGTTAGTCCATTATAAAACTGGTTTTGTGGGAGATAACTGTTGGAGTTAAACACTCCCATGCCACTGTAAGTATCAGGCTATGCTATAAATCTGTTAGATTGAAGTAATTCGTGCAGGGTTTGGGGAGTTTGTTGGTTTTGGTTGGTTTGTTTGTTTTTAAGCAAGCAAACTTACCTTTCAGTGTAAATCAGATTTCTCCACTGGTTGAGTTTATAGCACCACTCCATAAATTTCTCATTACTTTGTGTAAGGGGACAGAATT